GCCTATAATCCCAGCACCAGGGAGGCTGAAGCAACAGGATCTTGAGTTTGAGGTAAGCCTTGGTTGCATAGTCAGACAGAGACTGAAAAGAGATTGCCTAATTCCACTCCTGGTTCATCACAGCAAATATATGCCATTTTACATATAAAATGGTAAAATACACGTACAGTTCAGTGACATCACTTACGTTCATGTCGTTGTTCGGCCATTACCATGATCCATCTCCAGAACTTTACCATCATCTCAAATTATTTGAGACGATGTCTCACTATGTAGCCCAAGCTGACCTTGAATTCTTGATCTTCCTGCTTCTACCTTCCAAGTGATGGGCTTACAGCTGTGCCCATGACACCCAGCTTCAAACAATTTCTATGCCCAATCAACAGTAAATCCCTGACTGCCTTGGCCGCTGGTAACCATCAGTACATCATGTATGTAGAAACACACTGGTTCTTTTGTTGTCTGGCTTAGTTCACTTAACGATGTCTATAAGGTTCACCCACATGGTATTATGTATCAGAATTTCCTTCCTTTTTAAGCCTGAATAGTATTCCATTGTATGCACATACCATATTTTCTTTCCTCCTTAATGGACATTTGGGTTGTTTGCATTTTGCCTATTGTGAACAATGTTATGAAGATTGGTGTACAAACATGTTTGAGTCACAGTTTTCAATTCTGATATGCTTTCATCCAGAACTGGAATTGCTAGATCAAATAGTAATTCTATGTTTAATTTTTTTCTGTAGGAAATGGCACACCATTTTACATTCCCATCAGCAATGCTCACGGGTTCCAATTTCTCCACGTCCTTGGCGACATTTATGCCACATTTTTTGATATGTTTTAATCTTTTGCTTTAGATATGTTTGCCAGAACTTTGTAGCTGCAGACTCAGAATAAATCTAATTGTGGAAAACGCCTCCCATACATCTAACTGGAAAGCTAATTGGCAAAGCAAGCAGTCAAAACAGACTTACCTTCTGTTAGAAAAAAGTCAGTCTTCATTTTATATGTTTCTACAAAAAAAAAAAAAAAGTCACTTCTCAATTTTTTCAGACAGACAGAGCTGTACCATGAATTTGCTGACTGGGTGAAATAAAAACTGCCAGCCTCAGTATTTCTTTCTAATACTTCCTTTGCTTTTCATTCAAGAGGCTCCCTTGGGGCTGACAGTAGTGACAGGAAAGAGGTGTTTTTTTTTTTTCAGTGTTGAGGATGGAACCCAGGGCTTTAAGCAGGCTAGGCAAGTGCTCTCCCATGGAGCTATACCCCAACCCAAGGTATTTATAAGTAAAATCTGCTTTATTTGGCAACCCAGAATGCTTTTATGCCCAAGAACATCGCACCACAGTATTATCTAAAATGTGCAAGAAGTATGCCTTTCTAAGCAGGCGAAGAGAGATGCAGGAAAAAAAAGAGTGAAGCTAATTCTCCAAAAGACACGTGCCTGTGTAGTTCCTGAGCATCTTCATTCATCTCCAGGGCTATGTGATTCATAGTTTAAAGAATGCTGCTCTAACTTATTCCCCCCCCCACCCCCCCCTGCCGACCTCCACTGGACATTATTATTATTTGGTGGTACTGGACCCCTGAACTCAGGCACTTTAACCACTGAGCCATGCCTTCAGTGTGCGCCCCTCCCCCCAACTTTTGTAGTGCAAGGTACTGAACTCAGGCTTCATACATGCTAGGCAAGTGCTCTACCACTGAGCCACATCCCAGCTTATTATTTTATGTAGTCTGTGTTTACTTAGTTTTCAAATGTTCACCATTCTTGCATTGGAGATCTGCTTTTAGTCCTTTTACTATTTTTGTGGTTCTGGGGATCTAACCCTGAGCCTTTCACATGCTAGGCAAGACCTCTTCCACTGAGCTACATCCCAAACCCTTGGTTTAAGACATGGTCTCTCACTAAGTTGCCTAGGCTGGCCTTGAACTTGTGATCCACCTACTCAGCCTTCTGAATGCTGGGATTACAGGACTGTATCATCATGTCCAGCTTCTTATAATTCTTGCACTAAGTATCCAAAAGTTTGCTGAATGAATAAACTAATTTGTTGACTCAATAAACTAATGCATCTGTATTAATTTATACAAGCTCGAATAGTCAACTCTCCATGTCTGACACACAAAAGAATCCATTCATTTTGGTAAATCAAAAGTAGGAAGAGGTGACTGCTATCTACAGACTCAAGAGTAACAGCATTTTGTCCATCCTCAGGGAAAGCATCTATAGATGGAAGTGCCTTTGGGCTGCTAGGAGCTGGAGGCAGAAAGGAAGAGGAGGAAGAGAGTCAAGTCTTTTCTTTTTCATTTTTGCAGTACTGGGCAAAGTTTGAACTCAGGGCCTACACCTTGAGCCACTCCACCAGCCCCTTTTTGTGATGTGTTTTTTGAGATGGGGTCTTACAAACTATTTGCCCAGGCTGGCTTCAAACTGTGATCTTCCTAATCTTTGCCTCCTGAGTAGCTGGGCAGGTGTGAGCCACTGGTGGCCATCCAGTTTTTCATCAATCCACTTTATCCAGTGCAATCTACTTTTTTTTGAGATAGGGTCTTGCTGGCCTCCAATACATAATCCTCCTTCCTCTGCCTCCAGAGTACTGAGCTCATCCATGTACCATCATGCCTGGCCAGGGTATTCCACTTTTATTGAATGTGCTGGACTCAAATATACTGAGGTAGGATATCATATGAAAACAAGATTCTTTGCTTCAAAAGAAAAAAATATTGGGGCTAGGGGTGTGGCTTGAGTGGTAAAGAGCTTGACTAGAAAGTGCAAGGCCCTGAGTTCAAATCCAGCACCACAGAAAAAAGAAGAAAAGGTCTGAAAAAAAAACAGGATTCAAGACTATTATGCCTTTTAGAAGTTAACCAACTTTTTCTAGTTAAGGATTCTTGTTATTAAAATCACCCCTTATTACTAGAGTGGTTTCTTTCTCCTGATTGGACCCTGATTGACATAGGAGTTACAGAAAAGTGATCAAAAGAAGGAAAGGACAAAGAAAATGAAGCTTGCTAGGCTCCAAAGGAGATTCATAGTGTTCCCAAAAGCCTCCTCTAAATAGGCCACATTAGCAGTCCATCTACAAAAAAAAAAAAAAAAAAACTTCCTTTACTGGACATGGTGGCACATGGGAGGAAAAGGCTGGAGATCAATAGTTTGAGGCCAGCTTGGGCTATGTAGCATACCCTGTCCCAAAATAGACAAACAACCCCCTCCTCCAACCCGACCTGTTTTGCTTGCAGTTATTAAGAGCGTGGGAATGGTAGTGGGAATAAGATGACCACATCTAACTCCTGGGTAGGGGCTGCCACAAGGCAGCTGCAGCAGAACCCCCATGCTTACAACATCTTTGGTGTCCATTAACTGAGGTTTCAATGTTTTTGGCAATCTTAAGTTTCTGGGAAGATTTTAAAAAAACAACTAATTTCCTCAAAGATAAGAGTGAAAATATAAATACCAAATGTCTTAAAACTTTGCAGTCAGGGGACACACTGCACTGAAGAGAAAACAAAGGAAATAAATGGAAATAAAACAGATGACACATCTTTTTCAAATGTCACATTTAATGTTTTCACCACTGTACTTCAAATCTACATTGTACAAAGTGACCAGAAAGTGTGCTACGGTAACTGACCAACCTCTGAGATTGTACCTTTCACACCAGTGTCTTCTCGGGCTCTTTTGACACTAAACACGTTTCTCATTCAAGTGAATTGAAATGCTTCAGTTGGGTTGATTCTCAGGAGCCTCATAAAAAAAAACAAAGATATTGCACCATCTTTGTTTAGTAATTCAATGTTTGTTTCTTTCACAGCAAATAATTACTTCATTGAAGTTAAAACTTCCAAACATAACTTATTAATAGTCTTCAGATTCAGCTCAGATCACTCAAGATGAAAATACTCTGCTAAATACAGATAACTTACAGTAACTTTAACAGTTAATTGTCCATAACACACACCAAGGTTTTTTCTAGACCAATTTAAGACGATCCATTAGTACTCCTTGTACAGGTGAAAAACGATCTTCAATTTTCTTGTCTTTTTATTTTTAATATAAAAGTTGGAAGGGACATTCAAGTTTCAAGTCTCCACATTGAACTTAAAAAAAAAAATAGTCATCATCAGCATGTGGAGGTAAACAAGCCAAGTTGTATAGCTCCAGGAGGTAGAGGCCTTCGACCGGCATTCGTATATACATATTCACAGAGCTCAGTGTCCCAACAGAGAAAAGAATTTGTCAAAAAGTATAAGTTATTTACTACTGTGACATTTCAAGACTCCCACAGCTTTGCCTAAGGACACAAACACATTTGACATAATTCCCTATGTGCCTTTTTTTGTGGCTTTTTTTAAAATTTGTTTTTATCTTTTATTATTTTTCACTGTCCAGTGCAGGAAAAGTCTCACAAAATTTCACAGACCTAAAATGTGCAAGCTAGTTCTTTCTCTATACAGCAATGTTGGGATTCTTTTGAAATTAGCCCAGAAATGAATTATTTACACACATGAAAGATGCATGCTTGGGGTTCTTTTATGTAAGAAAGAGCAGAAAAACTTCTAATAAAAATAGATTAAATATATATATATATATATATATTTATACTGGGTAAGGAAAACAAAAGTTTAGTCTCCTAATCACAAAACTCATTCTCTCTACCCACAACATTGGATTTTAGACAGCACACATCACCATCACGGCTCTAACGAGAAGCTAATTATAGGGCTTGATCATTAGGTGGCATGCCCCTCCCCCCCCCAGGTGCAGCCACGATCAGCTCACGTGGCTCCAAGATTGGTCGCAGGCAAGGTTTCTAGATTCTTTAGTTTTAGAAAACACCAAATCTTTAGGAATGGCTCAAATATCAAAATGCATGACTGTTTTGTGTGTGTGTGTGTGTGTGTGTGTGTGCGCTCAAATATCAAAATGCATGACTGTTTTGTGTGTGTGTGTGTGTGTGTGTGTGTGTGTGTGTGTATACAATCTCACTTCATTTTTAAAGAAAAACAAAACAAAAACCCCAACTCCCAAATTTGGTTCAATTCTCTTTTGTTCTGAGGTGAGCCTTAACAGCTGCACTAATTTCATAAAACATGTGCAACTCTGGGTAAAATATTTTTTCTTCTAAAAGCACAACCACTTTACAAGATTAAAAGACTAGTAACATTTCTAAATATTATTCATATCATACAAGTAGTGGTTGTTAATTTAAAACTTCATTAGTAAAATTACAGTACAAGCATGATTAACCTCCAGAATTGCAAATCCCAGACTCCAGTGGAAAGCTACATTACATCTTCAGTAGTACATTTTCCTCCACTGTTACTCCCACACCAGAGGAGACGGGGGCATCTCAGACGGCTGAGCAACAGTGGAACTGGAAGAAAATGGAGAGATGGTGGGATTAGTTGTAACACCACACTTGGCACAAGGGCATGTCACTACTGTCTCTTCTGTTCCCTTCAGAAAACCTATTTAGTCCATTTCTGGATTTTTTTTTTTTTGTGGTAGTGGGGATTGAACTCAGGAACTCATGTTTGCTAGGCAGGCACTCTACCACTTGAGCCATGCTCTCAGCCCCCATTTTTGTTTTTTATTTCTTGTTCTTTAACTCATCCAAAGTTGATTTTGTTCCAAACCATCTAGGGATCTGTTACCTATAGGGAGGTAATAAGCCACTAGTGGCTAACAGACAGGCTTGTCTTACCAGTTGTGAGGCACTGAGCAAGTTCCTTAACCCTTCCTCCTTTGGAAAAGGCTCATGCTGTCTACCTCACAGGCTACTGTGATGAATACTGGGGTAATGTATGTAAAGTGTTTTCCATGGTGTCTACTTGACAATGTGAATGGTAGCTATTACAAATAGTAATGTCTACCTTCAATCAGGAAAATAACCTAAAAGGATATAGAATTATCCAGTTAAAAGTAGCCTCTCAAAATAGTGACCTTAAGTGGGGACCTGTTTTGAAGGAGTCTAATAAGCATTCTTTTATGAAGTATTAATGGAACAGTATGAATAATCATTTAGTATTTGTTAGCTACAAGACCTGGTATTAGTTACTTCCCATGGCTAAGGTTGCTAATTAGAAGGGGTTTGTAATCACTCTCCTTTCCCCAGGGCCTAAGATAACAATGATTTGCACCTGGAAGGTGGTGAAACACCTAATTGACCTGGTCAATAACTCTTAGGGGAAAATATTAAACAAAGTAATTTAAAACTACAGAGAAGTAAAACTGCAAGTTAATGCCTTCTTTCTACAGAAAAAAAAAGGAAGAAATGAGAGACACCTGATTTTACAAATTTTAAACAAAAATTCTTGATTTTGGTTCAACAAACTCAACTTCAGTACCATGCAGGAAAGGAAAAGAGAGGCAAGGAGAGGAGAAACGAGGGAGAAAGGCAGGTGGGGAGGAAAGGCAATGTGTGACCTCTTGAATCCAAACATACCCTTTGTCCCACTTTGGTGATACTGGAACATGTCCAGCAATCTTTGTCAACAAAGGGCACTGGAAGGGCACTGCAAGGCTAGCATCTGAAAGCCGCTTCCCTTCCTGCCTTTTTTTTTTATTATTGTTTTATTATTCATATGTGCATACAAGGCTTGGGTCATTTATCCCCCCTGCCCCCAACCCCCCTTCCTGCCTTCGCAGTGCTTTTTTTGAATGTGGAAGGCCCAGCTGCAGTCTATGGAAACTTGCTAGCTTCTCTGCAGCTCTGCAGGCCTTTCTGATGGACCAGTTCTGCCCTACACCTTTTGGCACATTTCCTCACCACCCTCATGCTGTGACAGCCATGCCCTCTCCAAAGAGGTCCTTGGGTGGAGGGGGTCTCTTCTAAGTTCTTAATTACTTCCTTGTTCACTATCCCTCAGTCTACAGGGAGACTGTAGACTGCATCTGCTGCTTCAAAACCCTTTAGAATCTTCTATTATGCCTTTTAGAAGTTAACCAACCTTTTCTAGTTAAGAATTCTTGTTATTAAAATAACCCCATATTACTAGAGTGGTTTCTTTCTCCTGATTGGACCCTGACTGACACAGGAGTTACAGAAAGAGATCAAGAAAAGGAAAGGACAAACAGACAAAGAAAGTGAAGCTTGCTAGGCTCCAAAGGAGATTCATAGTGTTCCCAAAAGCCTCCTCTAAATAGGCCACATTAGCAGTCCATCTACAAAAAAAAAAAAAACTTCCTTTACTGGGCATGGAAGTACATCCTGTAATCCCAGCACTTGGGAGGATAAGGCTGGAGATCAAGAGTTTGAGGCCAGCTTGGGCTATGTAGCAGACCCTGTCCCAAAATAGACAAACAACCCCATCCTCCAACCCAAACTGTTTTGCTTGCAGTTATTAAGAGCGTGGGAATGGTAGTGGGAATAAGATGACCACATCTAACTCCTGGGTAGGGGCTGCCACAAGGCAGCTGCAGCAGAACCCCCATGCTTACCATCAGGCAGCAGAGTGGTCATCTGGGAAAAAACAGTCACAGTGACCACAGTGAATCTGTATCAGTGTAAAAACAGATGCATCTATCTTTAATTCACTTTTGATTGAAACCAAAGGTCCTAACAGAAACATTCTGCTGGGCTTTTATCTATGTTATCTCAATAAAAAATAAAATATGAAAATCACAATGGTATCCTTTTAATTCTAACAAGAATATTAGAATTTCATACATATAGTTACCTAATAAAGCTCTTAAAAGCAGCAGACTGAGGGTTGATGCAGAGAGGCACTCTGTTTCCTTTCTGCTGTTCCAAAATGAACTGGTGAATAATTTCTGTGGAGAAAATAAACATCATACAACCAATTGCCAATCTGCAGGCCTGGAAGCAGTGGACTCTCAGGTGACCCTTGCCAGCATGGAACAGAATTTCCTACTGGTTTGGTTAAATCGGATGCACACATCTGCTACTGAGCATAATTCAGCTGAACGCTCCTGAAACCACAATGGTAGTTGTTGATAAACACAGGCAAACCCCTGTAGTAGTATTACGTACACTAAAGAGCCCATCAGTGGGAAGTGTAAAACTGTCTACCATTTGAGAAATCCATGTGGGAATGAAGGTGAGCTCTTCTTAATTGTTGGTAATTATTGCTTTTTGAAGGTCACTTTAAAGCCTCAGCGGTGTTTAGGCACACAGTTTTGGGCTGGCTACTCTGGGGCCCACTCTCTCTTCTAAAATGTCCTAGAGCAGGCATTAAAATCATTCAGAAGTTTGCACATCATTGCTGCTACCCCAAAGAAGATGATGCCACCCAATTTTATAAATAATCAGAAATTCCCTTCTCTCGTCATCATTCAAGGAATGATTCCCTTAGTGGATTTTTATCCTTTAAAAAACACTTTGTATGTTATATAAAGAAGTCCAATACGTGTCATTTAATGAAATGACATTGAGTGAATAAAATTAAATATATTTTGAGTCACACACTCACTAAAACTTTGAAAATTTTAAACAAAAAGCTTTCAAAATCAAAATATTCATTCCTCTGGCTAATTTTCCCTTGGATGTAATTAATTAATTAATTTTTAAAATTTTTGTTTTATTCATATATACATACAATGTTTGGGTCATTTCTCCCCCCTTCCCCCACCCCCTCCCCCTCTCCCCATCTACTCCCTCGCTACCTGGCAGAAACTATTCTGCCCTTATCTCTAATTTTGTTGAAGAGAGAATATAAGCAATAATAGGAAGGAACAAGGGTTTTTGCTAGTTGAGGTAAGGATAGCTATACAGGGAGTTGACTGACATTAATTTCCTGTGCATGTGTGTTACCTTCTAGGTTAATTCTTCTCGAACTAATCTTTTCTCTAGTTCCTGGTCCCCTTCTCCTATTGACCTCAGTTGCTTTTAAGGTTATCTGCTTTAGTTTCTCTGTGTTGAGGGCAACAGATGCTATCTAGTTTTTCAGGTGTCTTACCTATCCTCATACCTCCCTGTGTGCTCTCGCTTTTATCATGTGCTCAAAGTCCAATCCCCTTGTTGTGTTTGCCCTTGATCTAATGTCCGCATACGAGGGAGGACATACGAGTTTTGGTCTTTTGGGCCAGGCTAACCTCACTCAGAATGATGTTCTCCAATTCCATCCATTTACCAGCGAATGATAACATTTCGTTCTTCTTCATGGCTGCATAAAATTCCATTGTGTATAGATACCACATTTTCTTAATCCATTCGTCAGTAGTGGGGCATCTTGGCTGTTTCCATAACTTGGCTATTGTGATTAGTGCTGCAATAAACATGGGTGTGCAGGTGCCTCTGGAGTAACCTGTGTCACAGTCTTTTCGGTATATCCCCAAGAGTGGTATTGCCAGATCATATGGTAGATCAATGTTTAGCTTTTTAAGTAGCCTCCAAATTTTCTTCCAGAGTGGTCGTACTAGTTTACATTCCCACCAACAGTGTAAGAGGGTTCCTTTTTCCCCCGCATCCTCACCAACACCTGTTGTTCATGGTGTTGCTAATGATGGCTATTCTAACAGGGGTGAGGTGGAACCTTAGTGTGGTTTTAATTTGCATTTCCTTTATTGCTAGAGATGGTGAGCATTTTTTCATGTGTTTTTTGGCCATTTGAATTTCTTCTTTTGAGAAAGTTCTGTTTAGTTCACTTGCCCATTTCTTTATTGGTTCATTAGTTTTGGGAGAATTTAGTTTTTTAAGTTCCCTATAGATTCTGGTTATCTGTCTGATGTGTAGCTGGCAAATATTTTCTCCCACTCTGTGGGTGTTCTCTTCAGTTTAGAGACCATTTCTTTTGATGAGCAGAAGCTTTTTAGTTTTATGAGGTCCCATTTATCTATGCTATCTCTTAGTTGCTGTGCTGCTGGGGTTTCGTTGAGAAAGTTCTTACCTATACCTACTAACTCCGGAGTATTTCCTACTCTTTCCTGTATCAACTTTAGAGTTTGGGGTCTGATATTAAGATCCTTGATCTATTTTGAGTTAATCTTGGTATAGGGTGATATACATGGATCTAGTTTCAGTTTTTTGCAGATTGCTAACCAGTTTTCCCAGCAGTTTTTGTTGAAGAGGCTGTCTTTTCTCCATCGTATATTTTTAGCTCCTTTGTCAAAGACAAGTTGGTTATAGTTGTGCGGCTTCATATCTGGGTCTTCTATTCTGTTCCACTGGTCTTCATGTCTGTTTTTGTGCCAGTACCATGCTGTTTTTATTGTTATTTCTTTGTAATATAGTTTGAAGTCGGGTATCGTGATACCTCCAGCATTGTTCTTTTGACTGAGTATTGCTTTGGCTATTCGTGGCCTCTTGTGTTTCCATATAAATTTAACTGTAGAATTTTCAATCTCTTTAATGAATGTCATTGGAATTTTGATGGGAATTGCATTAAACATGTAGATTACTTTTGGGAGTATAGACATTTTTACTATGTTGATTCTACCAATCCATGAGCATGAGAGATCTTTCCACTTTCTATAGTCTTCCTCAATCTCTTTCTTCAGAAGTATATAGTTTTCCTTGTAGAGGTCATTTACATCTTTTGTTAGGTTTACACCTAGGTATTTGATTTTTTTTGAGGCTATTGTAAATGGAATTGTTTTCATATATTCTTTTTCAGTTTGTTCATTATTAGTGTATAGAAATGCTAATGATTTTTCTATGTTGATTTTATATCCTGCTACCTTGCTATAGCTATTGATGGTGTCTAGGAGCTTTTGAGTAGAGTTTTTTGGGTCTTTAAGGTATAGGATCATATCGTCTACAAATAGGGATATTTTGAGTTTCTTTACCTTCTTGTATTCCTTTTATTCCTTCTTCTTGCCTAATTGCTCTGGCTAGGAATCCCCTGGACGTAATATTAAACCAGCATTTTTGTAACCCACATCACTCTCTTGGCACATATACTCTGGACAACCAGCCATATATTAAGGTTTCAGAGAAAACATATGCAGGAGTTCTGGTCAGCCTCCAGATCCTGGATTTCTGGATACAGAATGAAGAATGTTACTAGTCATCCTGCCTGGCTAAATGCCAAGAAAGTCACTCACCTTTAACCTGTCGGACAGAACTGAGGTTCTTCTCAAAAGTGTCATCAAATTTGGGATTGGTGACGGGCTCAAAGTCACTGGTATAAACTCTTCCCGTAGAGGTGGAAAAACAACATTTACACATACAGGTGTGATATCTTAGTCGCCCTTCATCTAGGTAGGGATGGGCTAAGGCATCCTTAGCGGATATTCTTTTCGACTGAAATCAAATTTAGAGACCAGTACATCAACACTACAGATAAGCATGACTGTCCACACAGGCTCTTTCACAAGATACAGTTACTACTTTATACAACTTATACTTAATATACAGAACATTCTGTGCAAAGAAGGGCAATTGAAGAGGGAGTATATGAGTTAGGAAAAGTACTATTGTCATCTACCTCCATAAAGCATTTAAAAATGTCCTTCTAAAATTCTGAAAAGTTGCTACCCTGAAACAGATGTACACAGGGTCAAAAATGACAGGTATCATGACATTTAAATATGCGATGCTTTGAAGGGGGTAAGTTTACATTTTAAATAACAGGCTACATTTTCTGAATACGTGTCAGCATTTAGGGGAGATGTGATCATGCTGGTAATTTTGCAAAGCAGCTTGAAACTCTTATACTCTTTGAATATTGAATGGACTAAGGCAAATGCACATCTAAAAGTTGCTAGAGTTAGCGGCAGACAATGGCCTGAATTCCATGCTGTGAGAGACAGATCTGGCTGAGCAGGAGTGGCCTACCCTGTGCTTTTCCGGAACTTTAGATCAGAATACTTAATATACTTGCTTCAGGTTTACTAATCCATAATTTCTAAACTCATTACTCTATTAAAAAATTAAGGAAAAAAATGTCCTCCCTTAATGCTCAGTGGACATATAACTACTGCTGCAAGACTGGATTTTACAGGATTTAAGGAGACTCAATGGTAGAATAGAACAAAAGCTGACACCTTGCCCTGCTTCCAGCACTATCAAGCACTTTTGCATAACACAATTTTAAAAAGAAAACCATTTTACATTCAAATAAACCAAAACTAATTGGATTATTTTGATGATTTTGGTTCCCCAATTAAATGTGAGGTATTTCCCATAATCCTGAATTTCCCATAATCCTGAATTTCCCTCAAAGCCTTTTATCTGAGTTTTGCTAGATGATATATTAAAAGGCATATTATGACCTTTCAAGATAAGATGAACACTAAAGAAAGTTGCTGTTTATCTAACATGAACAGACAAATGCAAACTTGGTGATTTTTTTTTCTTCCCCTTTCAACTCAATACCTAGGTATTTGGTGATCCAGCCCTTCTGAAGTCTGACTCCCTTGCATTTTTACTAAGTAGACTTATTCTTTTCCGTTTCTAAAAAAAGTCTGACTCTTCCTTTGACAACTGTTTCTGGAGATAGTAGAGATCCACCAAGACATATCTACTCTTTGAACCCAAAGAAGCAAGAACGCCACTGAGAACCCATGTGGGTCCTGAGCCCCTCTGCTCCTTGGCTCTCCTTCCTTGGTGCTTCTGGTCAGTCTCAAGTGAGGGCCTGAGGTCTCTGGCTTTTGCACACAGAAACTGGTTGCTGGCAAGTCTGTTTGTGACTAAGCATGCCAACTGTCTACAGTGGTGGCAGCAGTAATTCAATCTGGGTTTTAATTATATCACCTGACCATTAAGTCATTCCTGTTAGGTGGCACGTGGCAGCTGGCACCAACAGCTGGAACCTGGTTCCTGAATTAGTCGTTTTTGTTTCAAATTCTGGTACTTCCTAGAATTACAGAATGCAGGGTTGGAAGATTTTGGTATTTTCTCCAGTTACGGATAGTGTGTTTCATGTGTTCTTTGTGTACCAATAAGGACTCTTTTTGTCTTTTCTTTTTTTTTTTGGTGCTGGGATCAAACCAGGGCCTCATGCATGCTAGGCAAGTGCTGTACCACCGAGCAACATCCCAGCCCCATAAGGGCTCTTTTTGATCTAAGAGAAACCTCTAGACCTGGCATGCAGTGATCAACTTCCTTTCTCCAAATAAATTAATGTCTCATAGGACTTTTCTTTCTTTTTCTTTTTTGGTGGGACCAGAATTTGAATTGAGGGCTTTGTGCTTGCAAAGCAGGTGCTCTGCTGCTTGAGTCACACCTCTAGTCCATTTTGCTCTGGTTATTTTGGAGATGGAGTCTTGTGAACTATTTGTCTGGGCTGCAATTCTCACGATCTCAGCCTGCCAAGTAGCTAGGAATACAGGCGTGAGCCACCAGTGCCCAGCTGGAGCTTTTCAAATAAGGCAAAAGAAAGGAGACTTATTTTATAAGGGGTGTGAACACTGAAAAGAATAAACTGTCCTGCTAAATTGAGGAAAATCTCAAAATTACTCAGATTTTAATAACGATGTTCTTTTGGAGGACCTAATGGTACTTAACTATACATTTTAATATGTAAGTTACATATGTAAGTTATAGTAACTTGTCTCTATTCTAGATTTTGTTGCTTTATCAACTTGGGTAAAAGTTGGTAAAATTTCCTATTTTATAAATATAAAATATTTCTAAGTAAACAAATTGATGTACTGTGCATATGTCTACCTTTTTTTTTTTTTTTTTTTTTGCGGCACTGGGGTTTGAACTCAGGGCTTCATGCTTGCTAGGTACCAATTGAGCCACTCCACAAGCCCTTTGCAAACTGCTCAAGGGAAATATACATCGTGAGAGCGCTTAACATTTAATGGAGCAAACTGCTATTCCAACTGGAGTTTAGAAACATTATCAACATATTAAAGACATAAAAAGAAATTCAAAGATTTAAAAAATATTACCCTTTCTTAGATATTGAATGTTAACTCTTTAGACATTTTTTCTTGCAGAATGGATGTGACTAAAGTGAAAGAGGGCTTGCTTTGCAAGTACAATGTCCTGAATTCAAACCCCAGTCCGATAAAAAAAAAAAAAAAATTTTTTTTTTTAGCAAGGTGCCGGTGGCTCACACCTATAATCAAAGCTATTTGAGAAGCTAAGATCGGGTGGATCACGGTTCAAGGTCAGCTCGGGTAAACAGTTGGCTGGACGCTCATCTCCAAAATAACCAAAGCAAAAATGGACTGGAGTGTAGCTCAAGTGGTAGAGCATCTGCTTTGCAAGTATGAAGCCCCGAGTTCAACTCCAATTCTCCCTAAAAAAGAAATTTTTTCTTGCTAAAGTTCTCAACTCAAAGACTGAACAAAGTTATAACTGTGAATTAAATATCATACTCTTGGCCAGGTGCAGTGGTTATGCCTGTAATCCCAGCTATGCAGGAGGTACAGTTTAGTAGAATGTGGTTTGAGACCAGGCACAAAGTTAGCAATACACCGTATCAACCAATAAAGCTGGGTGTGATGGTGTGTATTCATCATCCCTGCTATGCAGACGGCATAAATAGGATTGTGGTCCAAATTGCTGGGCAAAAACACAAGACCCTATTAGAAAAACAACTAAATCAAAAAAGGTACGAGGCCTTGACTTCAAACCCCAGTATCACTCCCCACAAAGAAATAAAGAAAAACAATTCACAATCACACTCCTGGCAGTCAATCTTTCTCTGAACACCTATTTCATCTCTTGAGGTAAACTGTCCCTGTTTAGGCAGCCAGTCCTTACATGAACTGCCCACCTCACCCCTTGAGGTATAATTCTGCTTTCCTAATAAATCTCTCTTTCTTTCTTTTTTTTGTGGTACTGGGGTTTGAACTCAGGGCTTCACATTTGCTAAGCAGGCTGTGTACCACTTGAGCCACTCTGCCAGTCCATAAATCACTCTTAACTATAAAATTTAAAAAACCCAAACATACTCTTGAGCTTGGGGTTTGCTTGCCTAGTAAGTATAAGGCCCTAAATTCAAAACCCCAATGCTGCCCCCACAGTATGCCTCTTGCTGAGCATGGTAGTGCATACCTGTAATACCAGTAACCCAGGAGGCAGAGGTAAGAGGATTACAGTTTGAGGTATGTCTGGGCAAAAGTATGAGACCCTGTCTGAAAAACAAACTAAAAGCAAAAAGACTGGGGATGTGGCTTAAGTAGGCCCTGAGTTCAATCTCCAGACAAGCAGTGGGGGTAAATCATACTCTTGGCTAGTAGGTAACAAAGTAAGCAAAATATTTCTCTTAAACAACTTAGAAGTTTATATATATAATTGTGTAAGAAAAAGAGGTCATGTACTATTCCTACACAAGATGAGTCTTTGGACAAATCAGTCTGAGTCAATAATTGTAAATTGTTAAGAACATCAGCTTTGGTTTTACTGCCATGTAAAAATAATGCTAGCACAATATTCTAGTTTTGCAAGTTTTGGATTTGTTTTCTCATAAAAAGTCTAATCATTGTGAATTGGATTTTTTTCCTGCTGGTTTTACTGTTCAGATAAACTAGCATTATCAGTTTGTCTACTATTACAGAATTGAAAAATTATGTATTTAACTAAATTAGATTGTTTTTGCAGTACTGGTGATTGAATTCAGGCCTTGTGCTTGTGAGACAGGCACTTAGATAAGTGATAAAGGTAACGTGTTCTAAAAAGAAGTATTTATAATGCTACAAATTATGAGTACTTACTATATCAACTTCAGTTTTAGTTTCCTGACACTTACATATATTCGGTAAGAATATGTCTTCTGGGTTGGGGGTGTAGGTCAGAGGTACAGTGTGTGCTTAGTTAGCATAGGCAAGGCCCTGGGTTCATCCCCAGCACACTGCCCCCCCCCCATACACATACACACCACACCACACACACACACACACACACACACACACACACACACCACACACACACGAAAAGAACTGTCTTTTTTTTCCTTACCAGATAAATCTTTGTAACTATAACCACAACAAAAGTTTCATTTAAGTAAGTGTGGTAATCCCATTATTAAGGAATGACTGACTACATTTTACACATAAACTTTATGTCTAAAAAGCCTCCCAGGAAAATGTGCTTGGTACTTGTTCTACGGCTTAGGAAATTGCAGTCCTAAAGGTTGTAAAGACTATGATTTCCTGGAGGTGAGAAGTATTAAAAATCATGGAATCACAGAGAAAGTGGATACTTCACAGCTATAAGCATTGCAGGCAAACCTGATACATGCAAATTACATGATTTCTGGTACTTAATCTAAATAGAACTAAAAAAAAAAAGTATAAAATTGTTTCAAACATATAAAACTAACATTTAACTTACAAAACTCCTCTATGAACAGACAGAAATTACTTCTGAAGTTTGAATTTCATGTGGTTCTAATTTTGTTAGTCATATAAAAGAAGGTTCTTTATGTATTAACATCTGTGTAGATAAACTTATTACGAAAAAAAAATCACAGTGATGACACTGAATCTGACTGAAATTGTCCTTGATGGTGGGAACTTGACCTTATGGAGACCATGGAAATAAGAACTGTTCCTTTTCTTGTTTCCAGTATCACCATGCACTTCACATACCACAGTAAAAAATGTTTTTTAAATAAAAATAAAAACCATGTCAAAAACAATAACAAAAAATCCACTTTGCACCCTGAGCTGTCACAAAAGTAACTTAGGTCAGGCTGACTGGTTCTGGTCCCCTCAAAAGACAAAATGATTGCTTCTCACAAACTTGGATCTCAAACAGAACATTTTTTTATTCCTAATCACTGTTATGCTGATGTCTGAAGAGAGTGGTGACCTTTGTGGATTTGATAACCATTTGAGAAAGCTGCTCTTTTCTCATCACAAACAGACCAATGTAATCTTAGTAACTTTAGTAATTTTGTCTTTTTAATCCTTTAAATACCTGTTGTGTTTTGTATTCTTGTCGAGTAAAATTTTCTTTTCTAAGTGTTTCCATTTTTGAGTCTTCTTTGCCAATAATTAATGACTAATAAATATTATTTGGATGAATGAGTAAACAAAGAGCTGAACTTTAGTGCAATTGATAGAATGTCTGGGAAAAGTCAAGTCAGAAAGGGCATTTAGAAAAGCTACAATTTCAACAACCAAAAGAATAAATATTTCTTTATGCCATACAATGGACATTTTTTTTTCAAATAATCTTAAAGATTTTTTCTCTTGATTCAACTTGGTGTCAAACTCCTTTTACAAATGATGAGATAAGTAAGAATGGCACAGTATCTTTTCTCTCTTCACCTAGCATCTTAAGCACTAATACTCAAACTTCTGTGTGATGAGTAAGCATAATAAACATGAAGCTGGGAAAGGAAGTTTATCATTTGAAAGTCATTATTTATATTGTCAGTCTATTCAAACCCAGAATATTTCTCTTAGAACATATGTATTTTAAAATTCATTAAAAATATGAAAACAAACTCTACTTACTGGATCAAAGACCAACATCCTGCAAAGCAGATGAACAGCTTCATGTGTAGCCTGGCTAGACAGGGTGTAGAGTACAGGAAGAGATGGCTGTTAAAAAAAAAAAAAATTCAAATGTTTAAGTCTTTCAGTGTGTAGATATGAAATATAGTCAATTCATAACAAAGTAAGTAGCCAGCTCAAAAGACTTACACAAACAAATCTAAATTGAAAGGGAATGAGTTTTCCCCTCATTAACCAGTCTTCAAAAACAACAACTGTCACTGACTTCCACTGGCACATTTATACTGCATGGTGACTCATTACAGATGGGAACACAGAAGAACACAGGAAAAATGAAAATTGATTCTATAAATATGGGGTCTCCTGTTAATCCTGTATCTTAAATGCTTTGGCAAGGAGAATGGAGTGATTTAAGACTTTGGCCACCTGCAAAGTTAAGCATGTCAAATGTGCAAAGTAAGCATGTGAACTCTTTCTTATGAAAATACTACCATAGAGGTGCTAAAATCCTAGCTCTAAAGGAACAACAGATACTCAAGAACTTACAGAATCCTCTAAGACAGGATACCACTGCCTTTGCTGGTTCCACCTCAACTGCCTTAGCACAGACTTCTCAGTAATTGTCTCAGACGGGGTGGTCATACCCACATGGCCACATCTGACCCCTTTGGACTGAGGCAAGAGGATGGCTTTGATCTGAGGAGCCACAGAACTATAAAGCTTCTATGTCACAACTAGGAGTGTCAGGGGACAAAGCTGCTGTCTCACAATTATCCCCCCCTCAGCATTGAGGATGAACCCAGAGACTCACAAGTGTTAGGCAAATGCTCTTCCCTTGAGCTACACTAAGGCCCACAAGTAATTTCTTTAATGCAATAAAAGAAGAATTAAGGAATGTGACATAAAATGTTTAGACAGTTCCTTTCTTCTAGTGGCTTTACAATAACCTTTGGCGGTGGGCTTCCCTTTCCCTCAAAAATTTTAAATTCGTGGACTAATTATTGGCGATTTTCAAGTCATTTTATTTTCTAAAAGAAACCCAACTTCTCAGTGAAGTAAATACTTTTCCTAACGTGTTTAGAACTGCCTCCAACTCAGAACCCTTCTGTGGCCAGAAGAGTCTGACAAGCCAAAACCTTTGAAGAATCAGCCTAGAGAAAACAAAGTCAAAGTCTGGCTTAAAGAAACAAACCTAACTTTTGAGGTATTGACCTTCACTAAGGTTTGGAAAGCGAAGAGACTCAGAGTCATAAACTATTTTATCTGAACCTTCTTATTAGCTCTGAATGCTCATCTCCTCTGTTTCTTTTGGGGTTCCTTATAAAACTTCAAGCTTTTAGGAAATGATCTCAGAGCAGTCTTTCACAGTCCTCTGGTGCTTACTATTTTGTCTAGTGGCCAGACTGCTTCATTATGATTGTGGAGAGGTCTCAAAAGAGTTTTCCAAACCAGGAGCTGGTGGTTCACACCTATAATTCTAGCTACTTGGGAGGCTGTGACTGGGAGGATTGCAGCTGGGCAAATAGTTCCTGAGACTCCATCTGCAGAATAACCACGAGCAAAATGGACTAGAGATGTGAGGTGTGGCTTAAGTGGTAGAGTGCCTGCTTTGTAAGCACAAAGTCCCAAGTTCAAATCCCAGTCCCACCAAAGAGTTTTTCAAACATGATATGTGAATATGGTGAATATCTTTATCTGACATTGATCCCTTTTGCAGACACTGTTCACCATACTGGTTTAGAGTTAAACAACACTATTACTAATTTTGAGGCAAACTGGAAGCAACTCTTATTTGCAAACTCTTAGATTTTTTTTTAGGAACCTTGTTTTATATTGTCATTGGCTATCAGTAGATAAAAGTTCAAATATCACAGAAAGGTCTTGCCATTTGAGCATCAGAAAGCCAGAAAGAGCAACACAAACAGCAATATAAGTAGGTTTCCCATTGGGCAAGCTCTCTACAACAGAAACAGGACAGGTAGAACATTGGAAGGAACTTTGGTCAAGACTGTAGCCTCCCAGTCTTGCTATGGTAACTACTAATATCAAGTATTTTACATATGTGACTCTTTCCAACAAAAGCCAAGAAGAAAACGTAACAAGAACAAGAAGATACCTCATAATCAGTGAGAAGTTTTCTTCCCAATCAAGGAGATAAGATTAGAGAGGCTGGGTAAAGCACTTGTTTAGCTTGCACAAGGCCCTTGGTTCGATCCCCATCACCGCAAAAAAGATTAGACAAGGACTCTAGTTTTGTCTTATCACTAACTAATTAGATAAATTTGAACCTCAGTATCCCTAAGCATAAAGCGCAGAGGCTGACAGAGAAGAATGAAATTTTGTTACTCGCAAGTAAATGGATGTAACTGGGGACCACCATCTTAAGTGAAGTTAGCCAGGCTCAGAAGGCCAAAAACCTCATGTTCTCTCTCATATGCAGATTATAAACCTAAAACAAATGCAGCACTATTATGGGACAGGGAAGGCTGTGCATGAGAGCAAGGGAAGGAAACCAAAAACTTGGATGAGGTTAATATGCTCACTATACAGGAATGAATATTGAAATCTTAAACTGGCCAGGGCTACCATGGGAAGGGGACTAGGGAGGGGTGAAGAGGACTGGTAAAGATAAATCAACTGGGGTTGTAATACACATGTGCACGGAAACAACACAAGGAATCTCCCTGTGTAGCTATCTTTATCTCAAACTAGCAAAAACGCCATGTTTCTCTTTTTATCTTTTATGCTTTTTCTTCTACAAAATTGGGGTGGGGGGAGGAAGGGGTAGGTGAATATGGTGCAAATAATGTGTATACATGTATGTAAATGCAAAAATGATACCAGTGGAAACTTCCAGGAATCAGGGGAGGGGGGAGATTCAAGTATGATATGTTTGATATATTGTAAAAACCTTTGTAAATGCTACAATGTACCCTGACTCAGCACAAAAAAAGAAAAGAAAAGAAAAAAGTGCAGAGGCTGGACTAGGTAACCTCTGAGGTTTACATTAGTTCTAAAATTGTATCAGACTTAATGGGATTACTACAGATAGAAGACATTATAGGCACAGAATCCATATGTGGTTGGCATTCAATATTTGTAGACCAATTTATTATTCCTTGGTGCTTTTACATGTTTGCAAATAGAATGGTATTTCTTATTTAAAAAAGACATAAGCCCACAGCTCTGAAATTATTTGTATTAGTCAAGATAAGGTAGGGAGAGTAATGCGGAAGAAGTTTTAACTTACAATTTAATTTACATATGTTTTCTCTCCTTTCTTCTTTAATGGTAGTTGTACTGAGGTTTGAATTCAGTGTCTTGTGCTTGCTAGGCACCTAGGTATTCTATCACTTAAGCCACACCCAGCCCTTTTTGCTTTATTTTTCAGATAGATCTCACGTTTTTGCTTGGTTTAGACTGTGGTCCTCCTACCTATGCCTCCCAGTAACTGGTATTACAGGCATGCACCACCATACCCAGCCTCCATGATGTTTTTTACTGTGATGTAATTTGATATTCTTGAAAGATTCTTGGTTTGACTGTACATAGCTGCCCTTTTTTATACTGCTTGTGCAGCCAAATCCCAGAAAATTCTTATTAACTCAAATGTCTCCCTATAAGCAATTCTTTCCTTTTCTCTCTCAAAGTGAATCTACCCCTCACCTTATTTTTGTGGTGGAGGTATGTTATAGTTTAGGAAAAGGAATAATGGAATAAGCACTAGAAGGTAAGGGCTGATTCAATTTCTGACTTTACATCATTACACTTGGATAAGTTACTCAAGTCTCAGATTTCTCATTTATTAAACCAACTATACAAGTATAGGCATCCTTACCATGCAGTAACATTGCTAGTCATTGAACATTCACCGAATGCCAGGCCCTGAGTTAGATAGATGTAAGGACAACAAAATGAGTAAGAGCACCCTGGTGGGAAAGGAATATATAGGTAAATAATAATTCCATACACCACTGAGGGGATCATAGAGAATGAATTAGAATGCAAAATTTGTGAGATTTGAGGATGACTGGGTATGGGAAAAGGGGCTTGAGAAAATCAGATGAGTACACATTAAGACTACTAAAATTTTAAATGTCTCTCCCATTTCATCTTTCCTTACAGATGTATATCACAACAAATACAAGAAAAATAAGCTAAGTGTTATTTCAACCTAGAAAAGCATTATTAGAATGCCAATACTTTTTCAGAAAAATAATTTAATAGTTTAGTTCCTTACATGAGCTCCACAGTAAAGATGTATGCCAGAGGTGCTGCATTTCTAATTCCATTTTCTTCTAATTCAACAACCATTATGATTTAAACCAGATGGACCCAGTACATCAGCAACAGAAAAGTTAGTATTTCTTAGAATGTTTAGAAATATGCCCTAAAAAACTTATTTGGAAATAAGTTTTTGCTAATTCTGTTAACATCCACATCTATACATTTTTTCCCCCTTTAATATGTACCAGTCCATTTTCTGTTTGTTTTGCAAGTCATAAGTCACTCAGCAATGGAAGAGGGAACAGGTCCCAGTGCTGAGTCCTGAGCCAGGAAGGGCTATAAAAAGTGTTCTACTAATGACTGTGATGATCAGTGAAATGATGCAAAGATGAGATTCTGGACTTGGGTGAGAGACCCTAAATGCTATGCTATAGTGATAAAGTAAAGCAGAGTGCTCTACCACAGTGAACTTATTCTATGCAAGTGTCCTTAGCAGATTTCCTTTAGTTTTTATCCAACTACACAGGTCTAAAATTTTAGACCTTAACTAACAGCAAGGAGACTGTGATGACTAGTCAGCAACTTTACCTGAGTTTGCACAATGCACAGTTTACTACAGTAAGCACTCCAGGGAGACATAAAAGAAATGTCCACCTAGAAAATAAGTCTGAACTGAATAAACTCCCTAATATCCTTTGAATCTGTTAAGATATGGTCCCAGTTAGGAGACTATTTTTACTAGCTAAGCGTAGCTTCATTGAAGATTTTGAGTTATAAAAAAAAAGAGACAATAAATATATAATACCACACAGTGCTTTTGTTTGCCAAGAATTCCCTGACCTTTTCACTCTCAAAACAAG